TCCAAGGGTATCCATTTGTCTGTCCTCTCACTCTCAGTCTTGACTATCAAGTCTCATCTGTGTATCCCGTCCGTAAGGATAGTGATACTCTGTAGCGCGCGGGCACGCTTTGCTTTACGCACCCACATTTTGCTCAGCTACCGGGGGTTAAGTGGTATAGGTAGTAGCAGGCGAAGGTGGACGTTGGAGAAGTCGACAGCCGTGTTCATGACCCTTGTGGTATCCATACATAGCACTGCGTACTCCGTACACAGACAGAAGTCGACGTCGTGGTGGTATCCGTACTTCGCAGTCACACCTGGTGCTGCAAGAAGATGGAGGGGGGTCTAGGCCCAGGGACCCTGTCCTGCTCAGCTGGGCCCTGTCAGTTTCTCCTCACCAATCTTTGCCCTATCCGCATCTGTTTTTGCGAAGCCCGAGTCGCTGGCTGACGGGGACGGGGGGGGGGGGGAGTCTACTCCGTAGAGAGGAGGGGGCGCTGTGCTGCACACTCACTGATGAGAAGAAGAAGCGCGCTGCGGTGTCGTGCCGTCACAGAGAAAAGAGCAGAGCCAAGCAGAGCAATTGGAAGCAGAGGAGAAAGAAGCTCAGCGCAGAGCTGGACCATCCCCCCCCTCCTCCACCTCACTTCCGTCCCCCCGCCGCCGTCGCCGCCGCCGCAGCCTCTCTCTCAAATCACATTTGCCAAACCACTTGCTAGACGAGCTGTCATAAAAAGATGCTCGCCTCCTCCGCCCATTCGCAACATATAGCACTCCTCCAGATCTCCTCCTTCTTCTTTTTTCTTCCTCCTCCCCCGCCTCCTCCTCTCTCTTAGCCATCACTACACTATTAGGTGTTTGTTCTCGCTGTCATTCTGGACCCAAACTTGAACCAACGGCATCCCGCAATCAAAATCAACCCGTCGTTTTCGCCACTAGCAGCTCTCGGCTCGTCCCAACTTATCTACCTTACCTTACCTGTTACCTTGCCTGCTTGCTTTAGTCTACCCACCTACACAACCTACACAACCTAAGGTAGCTACCTGCGGCTACGGAGTACGGTACAGATAATACCTAGGTTGCATCTCCTCGCATACCCTCGACGTACTTCTTCGAGATTTCAGCCAACCTTCGTTCAACGTCCGAGTACATCCACTACGTCAGGTCACCTGTGTCTGGATGTACCTCAAACTCAGACTACCTTAACCTCGAGGGAATCGCAACGTTTCCAACCCCCGCCAACGCCTAAAAAAAAAACCTCCTCTACCACCACCACAAAACGCTCTCGTTCTGACCGGCTTGCGCCCTCTCCGCACTATCCATCAGCTTGGATATTCAACTACACCTTGACTTTCAGCCCCCCCGTTTCTCCTTCTGCAGTAAGCCGCACCGAGCTGCCAACTGTCACTCGATTACCTCCAATCCGCCTTTTGCTCACTGCGCATACCTGCCTGTGTACGACACGACGCAATATTGTCCATTACTCTGCACTCCCGCTATCCCGTGCCAGTCACATAAGTCGGGTCCGCCGTTTTCACAGCCACAGCCACTCTATCGGTATACCCCGTGAGAGTGAGACTGAGACTGACAGCCTTCGCTTGCGAGGTGAAAGCGCACTCTGTGTCCCACGCCCAGCAAACCAGCGCGTACTACAATCAACAACGATTGGAGAGAAGCAATCACTCAGCTCAGACCCGATTGATTCCCCAGACGTATTACAGTTACCGCTTAAGATTAATCGAGCTTCTATTTGGCGCGGCCACTGATTCGACGCCTTGCGGTATTGAGGACCCACCAAGCTCTCCACGGCAATCAAGCAGTCTCTCAAACCACACTCGCCTTACTTCCCAGCCGATTAAGACTCCGGACGACGTGCGGGAGAAACGGACGTGATTGCGATTCAATCGGACATATATCCCAGACCTTGTTTCAGCCACGAGCCAACTGTTCTTTGCCATGGAGCAAACGTTCATGACCATTCATTCCACGGACCCCAGCGCTGCCATATTATTCGTGTCCGACTCAGTCTACGACATACTGGGTTATACCCCCCAGGAAGTGCAGGGGAAATCATGCTTTGACTTCTTTCACCCCGACGAGGTACCCTTCGCTCGCTCTATCCACAGTCGCGGTGTCTTGCTGGACAAGGCAGCCGTGCTTCACTATGCTCGCATCATGGCCCGCGATGGCCAGTGGGTGAGCTGTGAATGCTGCTTCACTGTCGTCCACGATGTCTTGGTTGCCTGTACCAGTATTTATCGACGGGACGAAAAGAGTCACAGTAAGCGAACACTTCAGCCTCACGTTCAATTCATTCTCATGCTAATGTCGTGACAGGACGAGCCGTCGAAGCACCTCAGATCCGTCGATTGTTCTCGAGTTCCCCTCGGGATCCTCGTTACCACATGCTGGAGCATCTCTCACCCAAATTCAGAATGCCTCCCGTGGAACGCGAGCCCCGCGCAGCTCTCATCCTCAACAGGTTCACCCGCACTCTGACTGTCATGTTCGCTACCAACGCAGTCTCCTCGATTCTTGGCGTCAGACCCGACCAGATCAAAGACAAGAGCTTTTATGAGTGCATACAGGAGAATTGCTTGCCGGATGCTATTCGCTGTTTGGAAAGTGCAAAGGCCAATGACTCGATTGCCTATCTGAGGTTCTGGTACAGAGATCCGCGTCGGCCTGAGGATTTTGATGATGAGGAGGAAGACGAAGAGCACAACAGCGGAAATTCCAGTGACTCCGATGGCGGAGGCGTCCAACTCGATGGCCGCATGGATATTGACGACGATGACGGTCCTGTGATCAAACAAGAAGACCAAGGTCGTCCGGATATGTCGAATCACAGCTCTGCGAACCAAACAGCGACTACAAACGCCTCTGGCTCGAGCAATGAGACGCAGAACACTGCAGCTACCTCCGCCCCTTCGGCTGACGGATCAGCCGCCCAGGCATCGACGCCTGCGGAGCCCTTGCGTAACCGTCGGCGGGAACCGCCCCAGGCTTTTGAGCTTGAAGCTGTCGTGTCATGCACGTCCGACGGTCTTGTCGTCGTCATTCGTAGAGCGCGCCCACCAATTCCGGCACCTCACCCGCCGTTGGTCGTCCCAACCTACACCAATGGTCTCTTTGCGGCACCTTGGGGTCATCATCCCATCCGCCCTCAGGTCCCCCAGGAATCGCTCTACAATTTCAGACCTCCTCTCATGCCTCAGTACATGCCTTTGCAAGACAACGTCATGGCTGCTGGGGGCCCACCTGTGGACCATCTCATGAGCTCCATCAGAGATGTTGCCGTTTTCGCATGGGCATTGGTAGGAATCAATGGCAACCTGGCGACATACACGCGAGGCATGCCACGCGGTGAGTCCATACCAGATAGTGGCCTACCTATATGGGATCCCAATGCAGGGAATGCCTCTTTACACGGACCGGAAAACCAGGCAGTTCGTCGATGGACGCAATATGACAAGGAAAAGACCTTTGGTCCGCCCTCGTCGGCTTACCGACAGTCGTATAATCAAGGCAGGCCATCCGGGTATAGCCATGTGCCCCAGATGGGCAGCTACATCTACTCTCAGCCGGCGCCGCCCACATGGCCCGGCTTACAGCCTGCCTACACTTCGGCGTATGACCCTTACTCAAGGAACAACAACATTCGAGAACAGCACCATCAGCATCATCAACCGCAGCCTCATTACGACTACCAGGCTGGTCGTCAGCAGCATCAACCCCAGTCACAAGATTTTGGTCAACGAGGAGCGCTGCAAAATCAGCCATGGGGCGAAATACCCCCACCATACAACGGCCAGGGCCAAGCGAATGGTAATTCCAATGGACATGCTGGCGGACATTCGAACGGACAGCCCAATGGCCAGTCCAACGGGCAGCCTCATGGGCAGGCTAACGGCCAGTCCAACGGACATGTCGACGGAAACTCCGGCAATGATCCAAATGGATCGGCAGGGCCAAACGATCCATCCCATGGTTATCGTTACCCATGGCAGTAGTTGAAACACTCGAACATGGGAGACGGCAGCATGAGGATGACCATCTCACACATATCGGAGCGCATTGGCGGAATCCAAACGAACAGAATGTGATCAATCTTAGGGAAGAAAGTAGGTAGAGGCTTCGTGAAACTTCTTCAAGGAAGTCAGTAGTGGCCGGTGACGATAAGGGGGAAAAAAGATTGGGGTAGATTCCCCCCTAGCAGAGAGGACATGGAAAGGGGTTGTGTGTACCAGGCATCGGCGTTCCGCGTTTTACTAGAAACGGACGGTAAAAATGAAAAGATACCCCGCGAGGCGAAATGGAGGCCATCAAGCTCGCAAAGGAGGAGAATATTTGTATATAGACTATCTGCCAGTAGGGTTACTTACTGGCATGGGGATTTTTTTAATATTTTTGGGGGGCGTTTTTATTCCAACTGGGTAATGAAGGGCTAAACTATGCAATTTGTGTCCGGATTTCGTGTTGGATATTGTGAATGAGAAGCTAAGTTTGATGTCGGTTTGTATCTATGTGTAGACGTGGGCGTTTACGACTCCCGGAGCATCAGCGGACAAGGCGGGAATCCACATTGAAATCCGGGCTTGGGGCCTGGGCGGGTTCTCCTCAGAGTCCTCACAGCGCGGAGTGGGGTCAGCACGTTGTACCTTAGTTAGGGTACTCCGTACCTAAGGTACGAACGGCTTTCGCTGGCCAGTGAGCGATGGCGTGGCATCTGTGGATCGGGGATGCGGATCTCTTTTTTTCCGATTCGAGGGAGCTTGGACCACCTATTAGTGCTTCGCTGGAGGAAACCGTGGAGTCTATGCCAGGAGTCGCAAGCTGCTACGTACGTCAATTAGACCAGAAAGTCCCATCCCATCTCGGAAACTTGAAAGTGCAAAGCAACTTGCAATTCAACCATAACGACCCCCACGAACACATTTCACATTCTGCTTTCTTGAACAATAAGAAGGACGAAGACACGACAATAGTGTTTTCCGCCAAATAACACAAGTTCCAGCCATGGCATCTACGAGCAAACGAGACGATTATGCCAACCCTCCCTTGCCTGACGACGATTTGATTGATCCTGATGATGGTAAGCTTTCACAAAAGGGAACCACGACATTCTGTCCAAGCGATGGAAAGCTAACACTCCGTCTGTGATGAAGCTGATCTAGATGATTTCGACGACCCTCTCGGCAACACATCCTCGCGCCAGCCATTGACGGGCAACATCGGCTCGAGCTCCTCCTCTTCGCGGCCACTGAACGAGAACGCCTGGACGTCACGCATACCAGGTGAGGACCGCGCCGCGCCGCAAAACACAATCGACGAGTCAGTCTGGGACACGCTCCGCCGCGACCTCCTCGCCGTCTGGGCCAAGATGAGGGAGGTGCTGTACCCAAAGTACCTGCTGGGCGGCACCATGTTCGACGCCGACGGCCTGCGCGGCGCGTACGCCAACATCCGCGGCGCGGGCATCTCGGGCGCTCGCGAGGAGCTCACGGGCCTGGCGAGCCGCTTCATGGACTCGGAGGCGCTGCTGTCGCAGAATAACATGACACCCGGCCTGCGGGACTGGGATCTCTGGGGCCCGCTCATCTTTTGCCTGCTCCTCAGTCTCTTGCTCAGCTTCAATGCCAGGGCGGACCAGAAGGATGTCGTGTTTAGCGGTGTCTTTGCCATGATTTGGATTGGAGAGGCTGTTGTGACATTGCAGATCAAGCTCTTGGGAGGAAGCATGTGAGTTGAACCGTCCCCCTGTGTCGCTCTTTGTGTATGTGTGAGCGAATACTAACAGACCACTGCAGCTCCTTCGCACAAAGTGTCTGCATCATAGGATATACGCTGTTCCCCCTGGTGATTGCGGCACTCCTCTCTGCCTTTGGCATCCCGACCGTGGTCCGAGTCCCCGTGTACCTTGTCCTCGTCGCGTGGTCTCTGGCGGCAGGCGTCAGCATTCTGGGGGGCAGTGGTGTGGTCAAAAACCGCGTTGGAATCGCCGTGTACCCGCTCTTCGTCTTCTACCTCGGCCTGGGCTGCCTCTGCTTCATCAGCTGAGCTGCCCTGGACGAGGTTGCAAGGCGGAGTTAGGGGGGCGAAAGTGTTGGAACGGTTGAGAGATGTACTGCAAATGTGGCCTTGGCGAGAGTCTAAGGCGTACACTGTATTCTAGATATCCATGTTGTGCTACTCATCCTCGGGATGGTGGCGGGCCAATGAATGAGAATGGGCGTTTGGTTTTCTGCTACTAGGATCGGCTATCCGAGGACGAAAAGTTGCCCTATCTCGCGATGACTCCGCGTGCGCCGCCGAACCCGAATTGTCTCTGGCTAAATTTTCTAACGAGGGGAATCAGTTGCCAGAGGAACATGTCGTTTAGTGGTAATGGTTATAAGTCCAAAGCCATTTCACTCACTACCTTAGATGCTTGTTAGACAAACCCAGGTCATGAACCAGAGGCACAGGAACACCAAATTCTAGCTGCAAGCGGCGTCGGTAGTTGCCGCTAGAATGTCACCTGCGTTGCCCTTTTTGGACAGCCACACCACCCAACCGTAGGGCCATTCATCTGACACCTCAGACGAGCGGCCCTGGGCTGAAGGACATCGGAGGCGGGGAACCCCCACCGTTGGTACGGTACAGTGTAAGGTACCTACTCAGAGAACCAGACCTAGGCTTTTTAAGTCTAAAATACCCCTCACTTTTCAGTCCACGTACCTAAGTTGCAGTGAGGTGCTCGTCGTATTGAAAAGCCTTCCTTGGAATATTACGGCAGGGTGGCGGTATAAGTATGCGTAACAATAAATGAATAAAGCAAAACCCTTGGGAAACCAAGACAGAACAAAGATTCAGAGGTACGGATGGGAAGTTCTAGCCCATCGCAAAGGCAAAGGGCGCTAATGCATGCCGCCATGGGCCCAATGGAATTCAACCTGCCCGTGGACGAGCTGAGGGTGGGCATTTCCCTCTCGTCTAGCCAGCGTCGTGCCGTCGTCTTATCCGAGCCCGGAGCGCACCGAATGATTGGATTGATTAACTCAAGCGGGAGTCGGCCCCGTCCAATTGTTTTCCATCTCAGTGAGCAACGTCAAATCTCTCCGCGAAAGACGAGAACCATACACCTGCGGATTACTGGCCTGAGCCTACTGTCACCGCATCCCGCTCTGTACCGCGCCTACCTACGTACCTTTCAGAGACCTGGGAGTGTACCCATACTGTACTGCAGTGCAGCAACATCGTAGCACCGCCACTACCTGGACTACCTTGCTCAGGTAGACATTTCTCAACCACAACCTTAACCCCCAAAACGCCAGTCGCGCGACACCACCGCCCCAGAACCCAGAAACGCGGACCTCGGTGTTCTTACCCTGTCGACGACCCGGTTACTATTGCTCTTCGTCGTGGAGACGATTCTTGGTCTTTTTGCAATAGCAACTTCGACTTTTTCCCCCCTCCTTTCTTGCCATTTTTGGCACTCCCGTCTGCGCGGCAATACCCATTTGCCAGCAAACTCCACGCTACTGAACTACACCGATTTTGCTCCATCGCTGGCAAAAGTCGGGCACAGAGAACCTCCGCACCCACCACCCGACGACAAACGACCGTACACGACAACGTAAAAACCGCTCCGACAGGAACGTCACCTATAAATCACCATGGCCGACGATCCCCAGCCGGGCAGTCCCAAGTCGGACCCGATCGACGCAAAGGAGGACGCCGAGACCGCCGCTGCCCGCAAAGAACTGAAGCACACGGCCATCTCAGAGAAGGCGGAAGGAGCCACCGCCGACACGACGCCTTCGGGATCGCAGAACGAGGATCACAAGGACCACGTCTCGTCGCCCAAGAAGAAGCGGGCGCACGACCAGCTGGACGAGGACAAGGACGCCGACGAGGCTGACGTCAAGAGCGTCGCCTCGAGCGACTCGGCCAAGGACAGGGCTTCGCGGCTGGAGCCAGAGAAGAAGAGGCATAGGGACGAAGTTGCCGGCTCTGGTGACGCTGCGGCCGATTCCTCGGTAGGCTTTGACCTTGACGCATGTGGTGTTTGCCATGCATACTGACGCTGTTTCGCTTCCCATAGGCGCCACCGACTACCGATACAAAGACGTCAGAGAGTGCCGCAACAGAAGCAGCTACATCACAGGATTCTACAAAGGATGAGAAGAAGGGCACATCGAGTTCTGCGTTTGCCAATTCTGGCTTCGCTAAATTGGCGGCATCGAGTGCGTCCCCCTTTGGTTCGCTGGGAAGTGCGACCAAGGGAAGCGTCTTTGGCAGCGGAGCCAAGGCTGGCGCATCGCCTTTTGGCGGTCTATCTCCATCCAAGCCTGATGCCGCCGCCCCGGCGGCTCCTATCCCCACCCTCAGCTTTGGCGGTGCCGGCTCGGCTTCGTCGCCTTTCGCCAGCGTTAAGCCCGCTGGCGCAAATGGCGGTTTCGGCTCAGTGTTTGGCAGTGCCTTTGGCGGCGGTCTAGGCGGCAAACCACTTTCGAGCTTCGCCAAGACGGGGGAGTCTTCTTTCAAGACTGAAAAGGCTGCCAAGCCGTTCGGAGCTCCCGACAGCGACGCGGAAGACGACAACGATGACGAGACTGAAGGCGATGCGGATGGAGCCTCAGAGTCTGGCGACAAGGACGAAAAGGAAGAGTCTGACAAGGAAGAGACCAAGGCTGGGGACGATAAGAAACGTACCAAGCTGCAGAAGAGTAAGAAGGCGTTCTCCATCCCAGTAACACGAAGTCAAATTGACCTGTTATAGTTACTGTCGACGATGGCGAGGCCGGAGAGGCTACTATAGTCCAGGTCAGAGCTAAGATATTCTACCTGGAAAAGGAGGTTGGTTGGAAGGAGCGCGGATCCGGTATGCTCAAGATCAACGTTCCCGAGGCATGTGTCCAGTTTGACGAAGGTGGTCTGCCGATACCTGGCTCCTTTGATGCATCGGCCCTGGAAGACTTGGAAGACCCCGAGGCTGGCGAAAGCAGAGGCAGCAAGGTGCCCCGTCTCATTATGAGGCAGGATCAGACTCACAGAATACTACTGAACACGGTCATCCTACCGGCGATGCAGTTCCAGGAAAAGGCGACGTTGAAGAGCGTCGGTGTCATGTTCACGGCCTTTGAAGGCGCGGAGGCTAAGCCAGTGAGCGTTCATGTGAGGGTACGTGTTCCCCTCCCCTACACCCGAAACCAAAAGCACGAGACGATTTGATTTACTAACTCATCACATATAGCTGAGCGCCGCTAGTGCAAAGTCATTCCTGAACGAGGTTGGAATGGTGCAGAGAGAGCTCTTGAGCAACTGAGTGTATCCATACCAACACTTTTCAAGTGAATTTGAGATAGCCGGCGGCGTTAATGGTCGCCTAATGACGCCAATTCATCGAACAAGGCGAGTACGCATCACTATAAAGGGAGGGCCGGCGTGGGCATCTCCAGAGACCGCCTGGAGGCCTTCGGCTACCTTAGAGAGAGTGGGCAAGAAGAGGGACAGGCACACAATTGGTGGGACGGCAGAGATTTGTTTAGGAGTCCAGTTTGAACTAGGCGGATATCTCAGGCCCCTATCCTGTCATGATACCAGGATAACAGGTATCCTTCGATACATTTAGATATCACTCAGTACATTGTAACAAGGGCACAATTCGACTGAAGATTCATCGTTCGTTCAAGCTGTGGAAATCGAACCCTCTTTATGCAGGAGCCTTTGGATGACTGTGGTTCGAGACTTGGGAAGATGATATTTGATGTGACGCACGTGACTTGGTGTGGATTACGTGACGCAGACGACTTCTTTGATCTGAGAGGTAGTGACGTCGCGCGTCGAAGCGCCAGGCACGACTAATTCGCTTCACTGTCTGTCTGCATGTCCAAGAAATTGTAACGATCAGATTGCCGAGTCGACTGGTTTCTGTTGACGATCTCAAACCCCCTAATTATCCACCCTTGCAATCGAGAGATGGCGGCCTCCTAAGGGCCACTGATTCAAGCGACCATGTCAAGCGCTGCTCCAGGCGAGCTCCCGGTGACAGTGCGAAAGCCCCGGGGTAAGAGGAAGCGGCAAGAGAATGAGAATGATACGTCCACGCAGGAGAGTCAGAATAGCGTCGGTTCTACAGAGGGCGGTCCATCAAATACCGACGATGCAGTGTCCACTGACACCCAAAAAACGACCAAGTCCAGGAAACGGGCTGCGCCGAAAAAGGCCGGGTCGAAGCAGAATAGCACGGAAAGCGTAGCCCCCGCCGAGAAGTGCAAGATTGAGTGGCCTCAACGCTTCAAGGACTTGGAAAAGACGCATCGCGCACTCAACCTCGTCTTTACGTTTTGTTGTACTCGGAAACACCTCGCCACCACGTTTGAGACGATCAAGTCCTCGGTGGAATCGCACACAAAGACGTCCCTTACAGTCCAAGATATAGCTGCTATCGCCGCTATACGCCCCGAGGGCGTCAACTTTGCCTATGTCGATGAGATCATGCTGCAGACCGAGGTCAGGGGCGCCGAGCGCGATGTGGTGTTCAAGAAGGGGCGGGATTTCCTCTCCCAGGCTCCCGCGCCGGATGCCTCTGTGGGAGGCATTTCGGGTCTCGAGAAGCTGGATCACCACCCCGACGAGGCTGTCGAGCCAGGAAAGGAAGTGCTGTATTTTGAGTTTGTGGACGGCGACCTGAAAAGGCAGGTCAAGGACAGGAAGACGGGGGAGATTATCAAGCCGAACAGGAAGCTAAGGGAGGAGACTCTCAAGATGCCCGTCTACAGCCAGAAGCAAATGACGAATTTGATTGAGAGGCGGAATCAAAGGTTCAACGACGCCATTGTCCATTTTCTCAACCAATGCGTCGCCGATGGGCTTGATCCAGAGCTGAGTTTGGCAACGGCAACTGAAGCTCATATTCCTGTGCCGACAATCACAGAGGAGACGGAGCCAAAGGATCTCGGTGCTTTGCCCGAATCCATCCCAACGGAACGAAAAGGCGTCCCTGAGATTGTCCAGGAGCTGAAAGAATGCTCTTGGTACACTGGACAGATTGTGCCCGACGGACACCGCGTCTTCGAGCCGCAGGAACCCGTCTACGGTGATCTCAACTTCCTCCTCAGCCAGGATCTCGTGAATGCGCTGTACAACGCAAAGGGCATTACGCAATTCTTTGCGCACCAGACCGAGGCCATCAATGGTTTGCTCGAGGGGCAGCACGTCGTCGTGGCCACTTCGACGAGCTCCGGCAAGTCTCTGATTTACCAGCTGCCGGTGATTCACGCCTTGGAAGAGAATCCGCACACGCGTGCCATGTACATTTTCCCGACGAAAGCCCTGGCGCAAGATCAAAAACGGAGTTTGAGGGAGCTCATGAGCTACATGCCTGGCATGGAGGAAGTGCTGGTGGAGACGTTTGATGGAGATACCCCGATGAAAGAACGTAATGTGATCCGGGAGGAGGCGAGGATCATTTTCACCAACCCAGACATGCTGCACATCACTATTTTACCGCAGGAGGAGAGATGGAGGACGTTCCTGAAGAACCTCAAGTACGTCGTCGTCGATGAGCTGCACTACTACAATGGGCAGATGGGTTCCCACGTGGCCTTTATCATGAGGAGACTGCGAAGAATATGCGCTGCTGTTGGAAACCGCCACATCAAGTTCATCTCGTGTTCTGCGACGGTGGCCAACCCAAGGCAGCACTTTAAGACAATCTTTGGCATAGAAAACGTGCGGCTCGTCGACTTTGACGGCTCCCCGTCCGGTATGTTGTCTGCCTGGTCCCCTCTTCACTTTTCAAAGACTGACTTGCAACAGGTCGCAAAGAGTTTCTCTGCTGGAACACGCCGTACAAGGACCCCGGAGACCCGGCGAGCGGCCGAGGTGACGCCTTGTTTGAGTGTGCTCGCCTCTTCTGCCAGCTTATGCTCAGGGGCGTGCGCATCATTGCCTTTACCAGAGTCAGAGAGCAGTGCGAGAAGCTGGTCACCGCGGTGCAGCAGGAACTGGAATCTCTCGGGCGTCCAGAGTGCGTCAACAGAGTCATGGGCTACAGAGGCGGCTACACGGCGCAAGACCGACGGCGGATCGAGTCGGAGATGTTCGAGGGTAAGCTGCTCGGTATCGTCGCGACCACCGCCCTGGAGCTCGGTATCGACATTGGCACACTGGACTGCGTGCTGACCTGGGGATTTCCCTATACCATTGCCAACTTGCGCCAGCAGAGCGGCCGTGCCGGACGAAGGAACAAGGACTCGCTGTCGGTGTTGGTGGGCGACTGCTTTCCCACTGATCAACATTACATGCAGAATCCGGACGAGATCTTTTCCAAGCCAAACTGTGAGCTGCAGGTCGATCTGGAGAACATGCTGGTACGGGAAGGACACATTCAGTGTGCTGCGTATGAGATGCCCATTCGGCCAGTGGAGGATGCTCAGTACTTTGGCAAGGACCTTCCTGTGATTTGTGAGGAGAGGCTGGTAAAGGACCCTTTGGGCTTTTATCACTGCCACGATCGGTTCCGTCCCATACCTTCGAGGTTCGTCGCCATCCGTGATACCGAAGATGATCACTTTGCCATCATCGACATCACACACGGTAAGAACGAAGTCTTGGAGGAGTTAGAGGCATCGAGAGCGACATTTACGATCTATGACGGCGCAATTTTCCTCCACCAGGGAAACAAGTACCTGGTCAGGGATTTCCAGCCCGAAAAGATGATGGCGAGGGTGGAGCGTGTCAAGGTCGAGTGGACGACGACGCAACGAGACTTTACCGACATTGATCCGATTGAGACGGAAGCCATTCGCAAGATCTCCGGGTCCATGTCGAGAGCCTTTTACGGCACAATCAAGATCCAGCAGAACGTGTACGGGTTCTTCAAGGTGGACAAGAAGAAGCGCGTGCTCGACGCCGTGCACGTCGACAACCCCCCCGTCATCCGGTACGGCAAGGGCATGTGGCTCGACATACCCAAAAAGGCGTTGCAGATCCTCGTCGACCGGCGCCTGAACATCGCCGCGTCGATTCACGCGGCCGAGCACGCCATCCTCAGCCTGATGCCCAACTTTGTCATCAGCCTACCGGGCGACGTCCGCACCGAGTGCAAAATCGCCCTAAAAGAATTTGCCAAGAAGGATTCCCAGAGGAAGAGGCCGGGCCGGTTGACGTTTTACGACGCAAAGGGCGGCGCCAGCGGGTCGGGCATCAGCACAAAGGCGTTTGAGCACGTCGACCACCTGCTGCAGCAGGCCGTCAAGAGAGTCGAGGACTGCTACTGCGAGCACGGGTGCCGGGAGTGCGTCGCGTCGGACCAGTGCAAGCAGGCGAACGAGGTGATGAGTAAGGCGGGCAGTCAGGTGATTTTGAAGACGTTGCTGAATCGGGAGATTGATATCGATGCGCTGCCGATGGGGCCAGAAGAGTATTGTCCTGCGGGGATCGAGACTGTTGTTGTGGCGCAGACTGTGCCGGCCAAGGATGGGGGCAAGTTAAGGGTGGTTGAGATCAAGGAGGAGGAGTTTGATGAGAGAGATACGGTTTTGTTGGAGGAGGCTGAGCTGTGGGCTGGGCGGGAGGAGGAGGAGGAGGTCCAGGAAGAAGAAGAGTCATGATCGCGTGTTGATGTGGTATGGATATCAGACATTCTGTGATCTCGCAGTACCCTTTGAAGGATCTGAATAGAGCTGCAGCTATTATCAATTGTATTGACTGTCATGTCTGGCTACCTACGCTCGTCCACTAAAAAAGAGACAATCCCATCAACTTGTCCTCTTGTTTCGATTCCAGGGATTAAGTTACTGAATGGTTGAAGATGACGATTCCGAGGTAGTGTGCTCGTCACTAAAAGCTAGAAAGTGGGCAACGTTCTCTTTCTCGATACTCTTTTCTAGCGTTTTAGTCAGTAGCCTAAGTACATCAGGTCTTGGGATTGATCTCAATCCTATTCCATCGGCCCCTATTCTCAAGTGTCGATTCAACGTTGTCAAAGAAGCTAGGTATACCTTGGAATAAAACGTGAACCAGAGAACCTGGCGAAGCGCGGCGAAAAGGCAGGAGCGAGTGAGTACTTACCTACCTAGCCAGACCTATCTGCCTGGTAAATGTTGCTCTTGGCCAGTTCAGTTCCATCTGGAACGTCATCACAAGGTGCGTTAGCATCTCAACCTTGGTATCTCGACTGTTCCTCTCGCATTGGTCATCCAGGTTTTCTGATAAATGTCATCCATCATCTAAAATGATCCCGAGTATCTACCTCATCAGACTTCCCATCTCAAAAGTAAAAGGTGGAAAATGAACGGACCGATCAAGGATTCTCTTGATCGGAGCCTTGATGTAAACCAAAGACTTCGTGGTCTAATCAAGGAATCAAGACCCTGAGGTTCATTCGTCCTGTCGAGGATGGTGAATCTGATCATAAGGTGAAGGGAGGACAGGCAGGCAGATTCAGGTGAGTGTGGAACCAATTTATGAGGGTATACTCAAGTGTTCTATCGTGAATACACATCAACCCACCTCACCCCATCGCGCCTTCCCACGGGTGGTGCCTTCGTTCCTTCTCTACTTCCCTCGACTGCCTACCGACCGCCTCTTGACCGCCTACAACCGCCCACGAACCGCCTTTTTTCGATTCCTCCTTTCTTATCCTTATAAATACCTACCCCCCTTCTCATCCTCTTCTCCCTCCTCCATCTTTTTCTTACCACAGCTTCCACCCCCGCGTTGAAGATATCCTTCCATCACATCTTCCTTTTGCATGATTATACCCCATCAGCGTCAAGAGTTCGATCGAATCATATCAGACCAGCAGCTTTTCTCGATTACATTATAGAGCATACCATTCTTCTATCTCACCTGCATCTCAAAGTAGCGGGAGGATACACTCATCTTTACTTCCACTAAGACCTCCCCTTCCATCAACTCTCATCCAAGAAAGCATCCATCTGGAAGACTTTTCAACCGATCAAGAAATAACAAAGGATCGCTGAAGCACTTCTTTCTTCTCGACGAAGGCGCTATAGTCTCCGTTTACGAGTCACGCTTTCATTTAGCATCCAACGGTACTTTGATTCAATAACAGTCACACATATACAGAAGTAAGTCACTCCCTTTTTGCCCTATCAACTTGAAATGTCACTAACTTTCAATAATAGAGATGGCTCAGAACTGTGGTCAAAGACTTGCTCCTCACGACCAAGTCCTGGCATCATACCTGGCACAGCTTGACCTTGGGGATGACCAAGCTCAAAGTGCTCATGCCGCTCCTGCCACTGCCACTGCCGCTGCCGCTGCCACAGCTGCTGTGCGTGGCAGCAATGGGAGCAGCATGAGCAGAAGCAGCAGTGACGGCGGTCTCGGTCGTGGCGGAAGCATGGCAAGAGGAAGTCGAAGTGGTGTCATGGTCAGAGAGGCGTCAGCTGCAAGCTTGCACAAAGACAATCACAGAGCTGGTCCTTCCATGACTGCCGGCGTCAACCAGCTCGTGTGTATCGACACAGAACCTTCCAATACCAGTACAACGGCTCAAACAAGCCATGGCAGAGGCTTCGAGGCCATGCGCATGGTTTCTCAGCAGCGGGGTCAAGTTATTCAAGCACCTCATGAGCAAGCAATTTCACGCTTTGCCAGAGAATTCTACAACCTGCCCTCCAACTACGCTGGGGACCCAACAAACTTACGCAATCAAAGTGCGCCAGTCGAGGATGAGGAAAACACGGCGCTGTTCATCACTGGGCTTCCGGCTAATTGCACTCATACGATGCTGCTTAAAGCCATGGCTTGTTGTGCCCCGGTGGGAAAAGTCTATGCAACAGTCATCAACGCCGCCGACCCAGCTACAGGGAAGCGCTATGCAGCAGCAAAGGTGGTGTTTTTCAACCGTTCTGGCGCTGAGAATTGCTTCCGAGCAATCAAGCAGGGAAGACTTGTTGTTGGAGGACGCCGTCCCAGAGTTGTCTGGAACCGCATCAAATCAGCTGGACAGCCAGACACCAGTAACTCCAGAGTCGTCTTGATCCGTGGCCCATCTGAGCTGGTTAGGCGCGATGTGCTGGGCCGTTGGTTCTCAGAGAAGTTCAGTTACCATACTGAGGACGTCTTGGTTCGCCGAATGCAAGCTGGCACTACGGTGCTTGAATGGCGGTTTGGAAGCTTCCGAGCCCAAGCGGAGGCCGCCACGATGTTCATGAGTGAAAACGAGCTCGACGGCACAAAGCTGGAATGGCGTTGGGGAGTGGACCCCTGTGCTTGATCTCGACTCCAAGCTCAGGTGTACAGATGGAAGGGGTAGTGGAAGAACGGATTGAACGGCACGGGAGGTGCGGGAAGCCAGAAGGTTAATGTTGGTGAGGCTGGCTGGGAGGAAGTGGATAGTGTTTTGGGTGTTTTGGGCGTTTTGGGATTTCGTTTTTAGAAGAAAATACAACCAAAGACCCTTTTACGGTCGACCGAAAGAGGATGTGCACAAGGATATGCATTGGAAGCAAAGAGGTGAATGCAGGCGGATCAAAGAAGCTTTTGCCAAGGGGCAAGCTGGGATGGAACGGTTCGCCCATCGCTCATCGGGGGTGGTGGGAACCGTAGGAGAGGAGAGGTGGAGGTGGAGATTCGATGTGCGACGGTGTCTCAGGCTGTGTGGACGCTCGTGGCATTGTTGCTTGGCTTTGTCGATGGGAGACCCAGTTGTTCGTCTTGGGGAGATCCTAGTGTGAGTCTTTGCTCTTGGCTAGGTCTTGGCTCATATTGGCTTCATCTTGGTTTGACCTGGTTCGACTTTTGGTTTTTGCTTACTGTAGTAGGCTCAGATCGTAGGTTCTCGGAACGATGGATGTTATAGGCCCAGGTCTCTTGGAGTTGAGCCTCCCCCGTTAGGTTCCTCGTAGCCCGTTCCCCGTCTCCCTCAGTCCCCCTCCTTGGTGTTGTGCGCGCGTTCCGTCAAAAGTCTGTGCTTGGCTGCCTCCCTCAGAAGGTTCAGGTTGCCATTACTCTGGAATTGTTGCTCCGTCCGAAAAAGTCAATTGTATGGACGGTGGTCCCTTGTTACTTTAGGGCGGGTTGCAGTTAGACGCATTGGACGCCCGTCTGCTGCATAACTTTGCCCAGAAGCTGAGATTTTGAGAAAAGCCTCGGCCCCATACCAGAAATTAGGCGAACTTGACACAATCGGTCGACTTTACTAGGCACTCAAGATTTAGAGAAAGGACCGGAGATGAGGACCAAGTGTCCCCATGTCAGCGTGGTCATTGATGACGGACACCTCTTGAAGAAAGATGATTAGAGCAGTGGCTGGATGCGCTTGGAACTCTGAGAATCTTGGAATGAAAGTCTTGGCACAATTTCGTTACTGGTGGACGAAGAGGAAGGAAGACGTAGTGTGCAGCAGCGCAGTAAGGTACTCGCGAGTGGTCCTGGATCAGTGGATAAGTCTTGCTGGCGTTGCATTTCTATTGGGGAAATGCCTCCGGGACTTTGATGGTCTTCAGGGGTCTGGAAAGGCTTTGTGACGTCGTTTGGCGTCGCTGGCGTTGCTGGCGTCGTTGGGCTGCTGCTTATCTGCACGACGTTTTGTCTTGGCGAATATTTCTTCCACGGTCTTCCCCCCCCCTTGCTAGACCTGCGGCCTGCCTGCATTACCGCCAGTCTGTGAGTGGTTATCGCTTCTTTTTCGTCGTGTAGGACTGTAGGTACTCCGTAGGCTGCAGCTGGACAACGCGAAGCAAAACAACAAACCAAAACATGAACCCTCGACACATGAATGGAACAGCCTCCCAGAAAGCAGGGCGTGTCTGTCAGGTCTTACCATAGGTATACCGTATCCGTACCTAGGATCAAATTCCAATTACCACCTCTCGCACGCGTCGCATCCTCACACACGGACGGGAAAAGTATCTTGTACTTTTGGTTTCACGGCATTTCAGGCGGCGCCCGTCCAGCGAGCCAGCTGGCCAGGTGTACCCATACACGCACACGCGCACACACGCCCGCCCACTGCTTCTCTTCCCAAGTTCTCACTCGTCCAACAATGCACAGGGGTTCTGTCAGAGCTCTTGGCATGACAGCAAGCCTGGCCGTGCCTTGATTCACCGACTCTCAATACGCCTCGAACTCTGTCTCTCTGTCCCTCTCCCGTGCAAGGTTTCTCTCGCTAGAATTCAGTCTAGATGTGTACCTGCCTTTTTTTTTTTTTTTTTTTTTTTTTTTTTTTTTTTTTTCATCGGCTCCCCTTGCTACATATGCTACGAAGCCGAACATGTCACGAACTCTCTTGCTCTCTTTCGGATTGACGGCCTCCCCTCACTTACACAACAAATAACAACAAGACAACATCTACCTAGGTTCATACTCAGGACCTCCCTTCTCACTGACTGGTCAGCAGCGAGAGAAAGCTCAAGTTGAAACGTACCCGCCCGAAACCCCCAGGCCCGGTCCAGCCCAGCCACCCCGGACAACCTTGAACACAAACCCCTGCTACTGCTACCGCTACCCGCGGCCACCAATCCATCACCGACCGACTGGACCACGTTGAACAAGACTGGGGAACGAGGGTCCTCACTTCTCTCCATCTCTTGAGAATCCGTTTATTATATCCCTCCCTCCCACTTCTACTGTTCATCCAGCCACACTGTCAAAAGTCTTGGTATTGGGGCTTGTTCCACACTTCTTCACCGTCCCTTATCCCAGTGATACAACATCGGTGTACACGCCCTCTTCGACTTCATATAAGACGTACTTTTCGCCAGTACAGCATTGCCACCTCTTCCTAGTGAAGCACCTGAACAACAACATCTAGACAGATATAGACGCCTCAATTCGCCGTCATGTCGGCTCCGAGGTCACCCTACCGCCAGAGCTATAGATCGTCAACCGATGGACGATCGCGACGACGAGAATCAAACCACCCCATCATCCCTCCTGAAAAGGCACGCACTTCAGCCTACTCCTCCCGCGGCGAGGAGCTGCCGAGTCACAATGGGCACCTACACAGGAAACCTCCGCCAGGTAGCAAAGTCAGGGTCAAGCCATCCGGCGAGAGTGGCCGCAGGGGCTTTCACCCCTTCAAGTTTCTCAAGATCTCCTGGAAATCATCAAGTCGAGCCTCTCTTCTCTGTAACTTTCTCTGGCCTTTCGTACCAGCCGCTTTTGCAGTCCGATACACCAGGCCCAACGACCATGTCCTCATCTTCATCCTCACTTACATCGCCATGATCCCCTGTGCCAACATGGTTGGATTCGCCGGCCAGGAGCTTTCTCGCAAAGTGAGCCACGTCTTTGGCGTGCTGATTGAGACGACGTGAGCAAAGCCCCGTTCTTCTACACCTTGCAATGCTAATAGTAATCGTTAGCTTTGGTTCTATTGTCGAAATCATCCTCTTCATGGTACTACTCGCTGGAGACCAGTTTACCGTCATCAAGGCTGCCATTCTCGGATCCATCTTGGCAACTATGCTTCTATGCCTGGGACTGTGCTTCATTGCGGGTGGCATGCGACGAGACGAGGCCGAGTTCAGTGAAGTCGTCAGTGAAGCCGGTAGCGGCTTGCTGCTGACAGCGTAAGTACTACTTCCAACTGGCGGATCTTACGCAATGCTAACAACTGTGACCAGAGGTGTCGCCCTAGCCATCCCGACCCTGTTCGCCAACTCGCTCGAAAACCAGCTTACCGCCGAGGAACTGGGCAGCAAGACCCGCCACATCTCACGCATCGTATCCTGCCTCCTCGTCATTGCCTACGCCGTCTACGTCTACTTCCAGGCCCGAACCCACCACGGAATCTACGACGCCATCTTTGAGCACGACGAGCAGCGAGACCACGACAAGCGCAAGGACATCAACAAGCCCAAGCTGACGCTGACCGAGTGCCTCGTCGCCCTCGTCATCGCAATCACCCTCGTCACCTTCATGGCCATCTACCTCGTCGAGCAGATCGCCCCCATCGTCGAGCGGCACAACATCTCGGACCCCTTTATGGGTCTCATCCTCGTGCCCCTCGTCGAGAAGGCCGCCGAGCACCTGACGGCCGTCGACGAGGCGTGGGATAACCAGATGAACTTTGCCCTCTCTCATGTCCTTGGCGCCACGCTGCAGACGGCGCTCTTCAACGCGCCGCTCGTCGTCATCGTCGCGTGGGGCCTGCACAAGCACATGGACCTTGTCTTTGAGGTGTTTGATATCGGCATGCTCATCCTCGCCATCTTGACTGTCGGGAACTTCTTGAGGGATCAGAAGAGCAATTACCTCGAGGGTTTCTTGAGCGTGACGATTTACGTTGCCATTGCCGTGGCTGCGTTTTACTACCCGAACCCACCTGGCCACGGTGGTGCTGCCGAGGGTGGAAGTGCAGAAGGGGGCCATTGAGGCATGTGTTCAGTACGGATGGAAAGGGAAAGCGAAATAACGAAAGTCACGAAAGAAATGTACATATCTTGCTTTACGGGAGTTCATATTCACGGCGAGCAAACGGGTGTACAATGAAGAAAGAAGATTCAAATTGGCAGAAAAACATCATGATCATTCCAGTATTTGTAACGCTACGAGTGGTATATATCTGCTAATTATCCGCACACCCACCCATGTAGCGCGTGTAAGTCCAAGCGAGATCTGGGAGTAGATGTCTCGTCTCCCTTTTTCCCGCGGAGATGTCCAAAAATACGCTGTTGGAAACAAAGAGAACCCTGCTAATACGCAAAAATGTAGATGCTAGCCTCCAACTTCGCTCGCCCCAGCCTAGAGGAAGTTTAGAGCACATTACCGTTTTCCCCTCCGGAGATGCTTGATTCTGTTGCACCTTTTGTCTTTCTAGTAAAGATGCTTGTCGTTGATACAAACTCCACCCACACCCCATCTAAGTACGGCCCGGCGCGGTGGCGGCTCTGTCTGCTGACCAGGGGATCTGTGCCGAACTTCCGAGCTCCGTCGGTCCGGGTCACTTTGACGTCCCCTTTGACGTAGGTTGGCTACCCCATCTACTCCCCAGATGTTGACTAGAAGAACAGCAGATCGTCTTCCTTCCACCCGAGGCTAGCGAGGCTGGCGCGCACGCCCTTCTCCAAGGGCTCCGGTCCGCAGACGAGGACGAGCTCGTCGCCGCCGCCGCCGCACCTGCCGACTTCCCTCTCGAAAAATGCGCCGTCCATGCGACCCTTAAGCCCCATCCACTCCGGCCCAGGTTTGGTGAGCGAGTATACCAGCCGGCACTTGTCCGGGCCGGCGGCGGCGGTCATGGCGTCGAGTTCCGCGCGGCAGAGGATATCCTCTTCGACGCGATTGCCGTCGAGAACGAGGCACGTCGTCGGGTCTGTTTCGTCCTTGAGGACGGCGCGGAGGACCTGGAAGATTGGCGTGATGCCGGAGCCGGCACAGATCATGACGAATCGTTTTACTGTGCGGTGTTTTCCCGAGATGGAGCACAGCCCCTTGCCGAGGTATTCGAACTTGCCAATGGGGCCCTTGAAGTCGACAAAGTGGCCGACGGGGATAGCGTCGAGGGCCTGCGTCATCTTGCCGCCCGGCTGGCCGCCGGGGGTGTCGTAATAGATCTTGACGAGGACGTGGAGCTGACCCCTTTCGGTGCCTTCTGATATCGGTGTGTAGGCGCGGATGATGGCCTCGCGGGTGACGGGGTCGCGGAGGCGCATCATGAGGTGCTGGCCGACGGGAAGGCCGGCGATTTGGTCCGCGTGTTCGAGGGTGAAGGAGAAGACTTTGGTGTCGGAGGAGATCTTGGTCTTTTTCGAGAGGATGCCCTTTGTCCAGGTCTTTGACTGGAGGAAGACGGCGCGAGGGGAGGCCTTGGTGTCTTCCACTACAACCTCGCCTGCGCTTAGGATCTTTTGGGCTGCCGAGTCGAGGGTGCCGATGTGGTACTGGGGCATCATGGCCTTGGCATTTTCGCTGTCTAGAGAAGAGAGAGTATTAAAGGCAAGAAACACTGGAGAGGGGGACGGCTGCGAACTCACGAATGGTCAGGAACTCTTCAGAGACGTCCTGTGCAGCTGCTCCGAAGATGGATGCTGCACCTCCCGGGTGGCCTTCCAGGAAAGGAGTGCCGTCGTACACCTCGTTGTTGACGACAAACCAAGGCTCCTCTTCGCCCTCATGCTGGCGCAGCTCGTCAATGGAGATGGCCCTTTTGACGGTATCTTTGGTCATGCAGATTTCCTTAACGGGCTCCAGCTCGGTTGAGCTCTCGGCTTCTCCTTCGACCTTCTCGCCCCAGAATCCGTTGGCCAGGTTTCCTCCGGCCTTCTTGACGCGGTCCATCCATCCGCCCGGCATTAGAGCTGGCTGGGTGGGATGCTCGAAACGCAGGCTATGACCTTCTTTATGGACGACAATCCTGAACCACGGGTTGTTCATCATGCCCAGGACACTCCAGTACATGTCTCTCGGTTGCACCATCATGCCCTCGTCCATGGCGCGGACCATAACGTCCGCCGCATCCGCGAGCTGGGCGACGGGTATGTCCAGGTCCCAGAAGCACCAGCAGAAGCAGCTCTCTCTCCAATCCATGTCCACGCGGCCGCCGTAGAGAGTCTCGCCCTCGGGGGCGAGTCGGTATGTATCTTCCGGATAGTTGATATTGGCGAGGAGCCAGGTCTTGCCACGGTCCAGAGTTATTTCTACTCTGGTGATGCGTCGACCGCCGCCGCCGTACGCGTATCCGCGAACATTGTACGACTCTGGTCCGTTGGTCAATGACAGGACCTCGTCGTGCGCAGGGTAGCAGGTGGCGCTATTTGTGTTGAGGTCATAGATGGCGTATCGTTCATCTTTCCATACTTCGGGGAGGTCAGCGCTGGCGTCCGGCGAGACCATGGTCGGGAGCACGCGGTTGTCGTAAATGTGGTACCAGTTGTCGCTCGGCTCCTTGGTCACGATGATCTTCTTGAGCCACTTTACGCTTCTACCGCCGATCTGCCCGGGAATGATGATGCGTACTGGCTTCCCGTGGTCGGGATGAAGCAACTCGCCGTTCATGCGGTAACAGACGGTTACGCCGCGGTTTGGGTCCATGCACCAGTTGAGCTTGATGCTCGTTCCATAGTATCCGTTGGGTAGTTTATCGGCACCCTCAAAACAGACGTATTTGGCGCCCCTCTTGGGCATCGCTTTGGCGAGCAGGTCGCCTATCGAGACACCGGTCCAGATGGCCGTTGATAGACCGGCGGCGCCCCATGAGAAGCCCTTTGACTTCCTAACCATGTTCTGTTCTTTCCGGCGGTTTCCAGCACATACGAGGGTGACGGGGTAGGTGATCTGCTCGTAGTCTGAGATGAGGTCCCTGAGTGTCATCTTGATAGGGTTCTCGACTAGACCCTCGACGGTGAACTCCCAGTCAAACATGTCTTCGTCCTCGACCTTTGGCACTGGGCCGTGGTTGCGTACATAGTGCAAGTCTTTGGTGGTGATGAAACCTTCGTCATACAGCTCGCTAAGAGGGGCCTCGACGTTGAAGGGGTGGAGCCCAGTCAGGCGTATTAGTCGAGGATCTCGGGTGACATGACTGTCGGGTGTCTTGAGATCTTCCGTGAGGACCTTGTTGACTCTAGACTTGGGAGGTAGGGGATATGTGCGAGGGCCCTCGACGATGACCTCGTCTAACAAACATCCTGATATTGAGCAGTCTGATCCGCCGTCGACGCTATAAGACTGACCCTCTCTTACTGTCGTTGCTGGACTCGGAGGAAGGTTGAACTCCTTTTTGGCGTGTGATTCTCGTAAGGATGTCGACATAGGGGTGGGGAGAACATCCATGGTTGATGACGATCGCTGAGTATGAATGATAGGCGTGATGAGGAAGATTGAATGAATTTGAGCGGGATAGGCGTCCGGAGTAATAGTTGTCTCAGTCGTTGATGACAATCACAAGCCAGCCATGAAACTGCTTAGGCGCTAGGCAAGATTTACTTAGGTATCAAATGAGAGAACAAGGGCTTGATGCAAAGTCGCTTCGAAGTAGAGAAGATGACTAGAAATCACGACAGAAAAGAGAGAATTTACGAACACCGGGCAAGGATGGAATAAGTAACAATGATGAGTGGGTTGGGCTGGTGGAGGTGAGAATTGGATTTCCTGGGGCCGGAGTTTGGTGTCTGTGGTGTGGGCGGGCCGGACGCACAACAGGGGGGAGAGGGGATGGGGAATTGCTGCATGGCATGACATGACATGGTATAGTAAGTGCAAGGCCAAAGATTTAAGGCCTTGCTTAGGGATGGGGTGGGATAGTACAACATGGCAACATCAGATGGAGGTGACGCTAAGATAAAGGCTCACTGGGAAAGGACCACGGACAAGCAGGATCATCTCTCCGGGGAGCGCGCTGACGGTTGGACAGGAAGGTATATACTACCTACCTACCTCAGAGAAAGACAAAGTTCCGTCCTTGTACAGAACCTGCCGTGTCATAAGGTATTCCATATTCTTTCTCACCAGACACTTTTAGCTTGAGTGCCCTCTTTCGGCCTTGGTCAAAGTGTCGTGTAAGTGAGCAGACGATTCGCCGGCGAATAAGATCGACCAGACGGTTCCGAACCTGGCAACTTACTTTATTCGACGGGTACAAGACGGCGTGCGGCAAGGAGATGCAATTTTCTAGCTAAGAAGGCAGTGGGCTCAAGTGTTGAAGAGTTCCGCGGAGGAAAGACAAACACTGACACTACTGGCATGCTGGAGCGGGATTCTTATCAGTTGCCCGCGTCATTCTTCTCTCGGACAGTTTGACGTTGGCGGTTGGACTGATGCTATTGGGCGATAAGGGCACAAAGTAACGGACGAGGGAAATCTCAGCGGAGATGCTTAATTCAACTTTTTTTTCTCTCTCCTTCACTCTAGCGGCTCGGTATTTCATGGCTTGGGATTGATTGGTTAAACGATCCAAATGGAACCCCGATCGGGATCCACGCCCCTGGGCCCGAGAAAGGCCCGTGGAGAAGCGTTAAAAGGGCTCCGGATCGGGGGGCATTCTCGAGATTCAAGAGACCCGGCACCCTTGTCCGTCCGGTTGGCCACCGCGTGAGCCGTCCTTACCTTCATTACTTTTATATTCCAGGCCGCGCTTCACCATATTCATGTTCCATCTCGGACCCGGTGACCACCCATTGTGCTTGTTCATGTCCAGAGACGACATTTGATCCTTCGATACAACTGCCACACCAGGTATCTGCGGATCAGGTTTACATTCTTCAATTTAGCAAGCTTTCACCTGTCGTTGGGCCAGGTCTTTTGACCCCGTCATTCTGGGGTCATCAACGTGGCACGTCGCACAGCTTGACACCCATCACGACGGTTTGCGGAGATTTCTCTCGTGTTGCTTGTAACACTCATGTCGTGGTTCACGATTAGCGTCGCCCGGGAAT